TGTATAGATTAGTTATACTGCTTACGCCGACTTGATTGGGAAAATCACACACGCGATCTCAAGTAAACTCTCCGAATACATATTTAAAAACTATACGTTGGTGTCCCTAATCCTATCATTACCTCTTTTGCTGTTACCCATCTTTAACATCTTATATATATATACATATATGAATTGTATTAGGTTATTACGTGACTCATTAATTTTGTATATATATTTTCTGTTACGGAAAGGACGTAAGTAAGTTGCAATAACTTTTGTCCAATCCATTTGTCTTTTGTTGCAATAAAATTGATTTAAACTAAATATTTGGCTGGGGCTTTGTAAATCAATCTTTAAATAATTTTCCATGAAACCGCAGTTATTCCATGCCAACAATTGGTTTGTTTACATAAAAACAGACAGCAATAAGCGAAAGGGGCAAATTATGGAAATATCACTTTCAAGGGTGTGTGATATCACTCCAAGGGGGTGTGATATCACCCAGGCTGATATCAACTTATATACATAATATGTAAGTTGATATCAGCCCGGGTGATATCACTTGTGGAAATTTTAGACTTATTACACATACAAAAAGGGTGTTATTATTAGTAAACATATGATAATCTCTAAATATTTCACTGACAAAAGTGTAATAAACACTACTCCACATGAAAGGTATCTATATATGCAATGCAATGATACTCTTTCACGTGCCAAGGGAAACAATTCTTAGATTCGGGAAGCCATGCAACAGCAATGGTAAAAATTCTTATTATTAGATATAACTTTGCTGTTAACAAAAAATGCAAGTATGTAACTATGATGGTTTCTAGTCAACGAGGGCCATTTTACATTACAACCGGAGATATAGCTCCTGCTCTGCTCTACTAACTAGAACCATTAACCCTTTAAACTTATTCTGAAAATATGATTACATGGAACTTCGTTTAGTCTGATGCAGTAAAGAGGTTTTAAACTTCCTTAAGTTAAAGAAACTTTTTCTTAATCTCAAAATTCCCTAACTCCAATATTTCTTTCTGAAAACTCCGCTAATTATTTCTTACAAAATATAACGTTATAGTTGGATCTTGAAGCTTTTTGTCGCTATAACTCGGTCCGGTCGTACATTATTTTACTTTCCTGACACATGGATCGATTAGTCACCAGCTGTGTGTTATCTGTGAGTTAGTCTTGGTCATCTGCCGGACATCCTGAACTGAATTTGGAGCAAATGTCCAGTGGACGGACAACAATTCTGATGGTTTAACCAGCCGAGTGATCTATCAGGTATGTTCTTAGGGCCGATTTAACCTAAAATTATTCCTCTAATTTATAGTAGCCTAATATTTCGTCATTTTTGTCAGTTTGACATTTCAACATGTGGGAGAAAACAGCGTTATGAACGTGTGTAAGAACTTATTGTAGGCATTGTTGTGATAAGAGACGTTATATTATACGTTTCTGTTGTTATGTAACTTTTTTTTCTTTCCACGTGCTTTGGAACCGACTCATTGTCTGAGTGACGGGTACGTCTGGAGGCCTGGTCTGTGTAGTGTACATTTTACAGTGTTTTTATGGAACGTCAAATGAACACATATATTCAATTAAATGTACAGGTATACGTACATTTAATTGAATATGTGTTAATTTGGCGTTCCATAAACACTGTGAAAGGTTTTATATTATAAATATTATAGGTACCTATCTTCAGTAATGGTACCTATATTCAATTAGTTGTACCTATCTTCAATTATTTAAAGATTGATAGGTCTATCAATATTTAATAATTGAAGATAGGTACAATTATTTGTACCCATCTGTTGTAAATTTAAATGAACCTACAGAATCACCAATTGAATTGAACCTAGATCTTTAATTCTTCAATTAATTGTACCGATATATCTTCAGTCATTTGAAGATATAGGTACAATTAATTGAATAACGTTACTGCAGGCAAATTTGTCATGCACCCAAATTTGCCACCCTGTGATGAAAATGCCATATGACGTCATAATACATAAGATGTGACGTTAATAGCCTTCAACACAGTTAAAGCCTTCACATATTTTGACAAGAAGAGGAATAAGAAGGGAAAAGTTAAATTATTAATTAAAACAGTTATGAAATATCTTGTAGCACAACGAATCTTATAAATTTTGTCTGTGTGATGAACATCTCGTCAACTTAACTCGTTAATCTGAAGCCTAATGGATGTGATTTAGTGTAATACAAATTGAAAATACCGATATCTCAACGGTAAATGCAGTTTCATGATTGACTGAGCTAGAGGCGTCAATGCAAGTAAATTGTTTTTCTACAAGTGTAAACGTAATCTGGGTACATGTATATTACAATGAATTCACAACCCAATTCGTGTTTATGGAAATGACACTCGGAAAGATTTGATAATTAATTTTCCATTTTCATGCAATGTGTAAAGTCTAGAAAAAAAATCAACATGTATCTTTTAAAAAGTTTTGTTTGCGTCTAGCATTCAGCCTTCTTACGACACTTTTATTAAAACACCATCTAGAAATATTCTAGATTTATATTTGAAAATAATTTGATGTAGGCCTGAAAGTACTGCTGTACAATCGCATGATGATTGTATGTAGAGACTTACAAAATACTGATGAAAAAGTAGAGTACTTTAACAACACCTGGGGCAGTTTCTGTTGAATAACCAGGGGGACAGCTGGCAATCGTTGAAAGCCCTGCACCCTCTCATCCAGACCCAGACCTGATGCATATAAATTGACCTCATCTTCGCCAATCCCAGCCATCCTACACAAACAGCATTAGTCAGTTTCTCCAAGTTATCGAAAGTTAACTATCAAAACTATAAGAAAAAACATTCATTTGAATGTTAATCACTGTTACTGACACACAATTTGGATCTGTTGTATCCATACGACTTGTGTAACATCAACATGTAAAATGTTATATTTAAACACTTAGATTACTTGCAAATTAGTGAAATATTTGAAGGTGGCGAAACTGCCTGCACCTTTGAGCAAAACCATGGAAGGCCTGATGACGTCACAAATTATGCTGCTTGACGTCATTTAGGCGTGTTTACAACAATGTTTATCTTCATTAATTTATGTTATGTTGACCAATTGCAAGGTCACATCAAATACAGCAACATGGTTGATCATAACCACTGTCTCAGGTGATTTAATTATCTGTAAATAGTAAATACAGACAAATAACACATTCATATGGAAAGCCTTGACCAATCTCCTAGGGAACTTAGTTATAAACTGTCATATGTTATAACATATGGAAGTCTTTGCCACACTCTTAGCTAATTTAAATATTTTACCTGTATATTTTATACAAGTACATATTTAATACTTGAAAATTCCTGACTACATTCCCAAAGAACTTCAAATTACCTGTATTGTCGCATAGACGTGTCACTTTCCCTTTGATCTAGCTATGGTATAACCAACTAATTTGACACGGTTTTGCTAATACCATATGGTATTAGTGAAGCTCCTCCCCTTTACAGAGTATAATACATTTCTCCATTCTCATTAGTCTGCCAATGAAAATGTAACGTGTCCGATTAGTGAACGTGGGAAATAACTGAAATACAAATAAAAAAAGTACTAATATTTTTATATGCAGCATAATTGTTGCAAAAATTAAACGAATAGAATTCACCTTTACAGAGTCAGTGAACGAAACTTTTGTTTTCATTTTGTAACAGGTAACGAGGAATAAGATTATTATAAGTCTGTGTTGTGATGGAAAGACACTTTACAATGGATCCTTGTCAGTATAGGGATATAACCGTTACATCTGTAGGTTTAATATAAGAATTAATATCATTTTCACATGTAATGACCACATGTTTTTAGCTCACCTGGTGCGAAGGACCATGGTGAGCTTATGCCATACCGCAGCGTCCGTTGTCCGTCCGTCATCCGTCCGTCAACTTTTCCTTTAAAAACGCTACTAGTCCTGAACGGCCAAGTAGATTTTGACTAAATTTGGTCTGGAGTATCCTTAGGCCCTGGGGGCAGAGGGGTGGGGTTCCAATAGGGGAAATATAGGTAAAACCTTGAAAATCCTTCTTCTGTAGGAATACAAGGATTTGTTCCATATTTGGTCCGAAGCATCCTTGGGTGATGAGGAACCAATTTTGTATAAGCCGTGGGTCTAGCCCGCAAGGGGCCTGAGGGGTGCGGCCCAATAGGGGAAACATAGCAAATTATTCTTTAAAATCCTTCTTCTTCTGTAGGAATGAAAGGATTTGTTCCATGTTTGGTGTGGAGCATCCTTGGGTGAAGGGGAACCAATTTTGTATAAACGGTGGGTCTGGCCCCCCTGGGGGCTGTGGGGCGGGGCCGAATAGGGGAAATATAGCATTTTTAGCTCACTTGGCCCAAAGGGCCATGTGAGCTTATGCCGTACTGCGGTGTCCGTCGTCCGTAGTCCATAGTCCGTCGTCCGTCCATCAACTTTTTCTTTTGAACGACTTCTTCTGTAGAACTGTAGGACCTAGGGTCATGATATTTAGCCAGTAGGTACCTGGGATGGAGTGCTATAAAGTTTCCTCATTAAAATGACCTTGACCTACTTTCAAGGTCACAGTGGTCAAATATGTTAAAATTTCAAACAACAATATCCTAAGAACCATTTGAACTAGAGTCATGATACTTTGGTATGTTATGTAGACCAGCAGTGCGAATATTTTTCTCGATTACAGTAATGAGGTCAAAGGTTAACTTTAAATGCTAGTCTGGGGTCAAATGTCAACTTTGGTTAAAAGCTTTAACAGTCTTCTTCTCAAATTCCATAAGGCCCAGGGTCATAATATTTGGCCAGTAGGTACCTGGGATGATGTGCTAAAAATTTCCTCATTAAAATGACCTTGACCTACTTTCAAGGTCACAGAGTTAAAATATGCTAAATATTTCAAACAACAATATCCTAAGAACCATTTGATCTAGAGTCATGACACTTGGGTATGTTATGTAGACCAGCAGTGCGAATATTTTTCTCGATTACAGTAATGAGGACAAAGGTTAACTTTAAATGCTAGTCTGGGGTCAAATGTCAACTTTGGTTAAAAGCTTTAACAGTCTTCTTTTCAAGTTCCATAAGGCCCAGGGTCATGATATTTGGCCAGTAAGTACCTGGGATGTGGTGCTATAAAGTTCCCTCATTAAAAAGACCTAGACCTGCTTTGAAGGTCACAGGGGTCAAATATGTTAAAAATTTCAAATAGCAATATCCTAAGAACCATTTGAACTAGAGTCATGATATTGGGTATGTTATGTCGACCAGCAGTTCGAATATTTTTCTCAGTTACAGTTATGAGGTCAAAGGTCAACTATAAATGCTAGTCGGGGGTCAAATGTCAACTTTGGTTAAAAGCTTTAACAATCTCCTTCTCAGGTTCCATTAGGCCCAGGGTCATGATATTTAGCCAGTAGGTACCTGGGATGAAGTGCTATAAAGTTTCCTCATTAAAATTACCTTGACCTACTTTCAAGGTGACAGGGGTCAAATATGTTAAAAACTTCAAACAACAGTATCCTAAGAACCATTTGGACTAGTCATGATACTTAGGTTTGTTATGTAGACCAGCTCTGTGAAATGTTTTCTTCATTACAGTAATGAGGTCACAGGTCAACTTTAAGTGCAAATCGGGATTCAAATGTCAACTTTGGTCAAAAGCTTTAAAATGAAAATTTTAAGTTTCAGACAACAATATTTTCAGAACCGTCAGAACCGTTTAAGAGATGTTAAAATGTCTTGTGTTCTAGTTACCAAATGGTCTTAAGTTACCTATATGTCAGTTGCATGTAACAAAAGAAACAGGTGAGCGATACAGGCCCTCTGAGCCTCTCGTTTTTAATATCAGTCTTCTTCTGTAGGAATGAAAGGATTTGTTCAATATTTGGTGTGGAGCATTCTTGGGTAAAGGGAAACCAATTTGTATAAATGTTGGGTGTGGCCCCCCCCCTGGGACCTGAGGAATGGGGCCCAATAGGGATAATAGAAGTAAAACCTTTATAATCCTTCTACTACCATATGGATTAAGGGATTTTATCCCAATTTAGTCTGGAGCATCCTTGGACAGAGGGGACTCAATTTTGTATAAACAGTGATTGTGGCCCCCATGGGAACAGAAGGGCGGGGCCCAATAGGGGAAATATAGCAAGATCTTCAAAACACCTTCTTCTTCTGTACGAATGACAGGATTTTGTCCAAATTTGGTATGAAGCATCATTGAGTGAAGGGGAACCAATTTTGTATAAACAGTTTCTTCTTGCTTTATCTCAAGTACTGGACGGATCTTTCTGAAATTTCATATGTACTTACAGCACCTACCATGGAGTGCTATATCTTTACTTCATACCAATTATTTTAAACATATTCAGGTGAGCGATACAGGCCCTCTGGGCCTCTTGTTTACCATTTCTCCTGCGGGTTCTGTGATTTTTAAGTCCTTACTTCCAATGGGATCTTCATGTTTGACCGCAGATATAAAAAGTTTCCAAACATTACAAAATCGGCTGAAGTCAATTCTTCCAATAGAGTTTCAATGATACTTTCTAGGCCACTTTCAATGCGTGTACGAGAGATCAGATGCATCGTGTGAAAAGTGAAAAAAAAACTGGCACTGGGTTAGGACGCAATCCGACATGTTGTGATGTTTTAGAGAATATTTCAAACTTTTACCAAAACAATTGTCACATGACACTTTATGCGACAAGTCGGTTACATCGCAATATGTTAGTTATCATTCTCGAGGGGCGGGCTTACATCTCTCGTGCTACACAATCGAGAAGTAACCCCTCCCCTCTCGTACAATAACTGACATATTGCTTGGTTCCTATGATATAACCAATACTAAGTATAGCTCTTTATCACATAATGTACTGTGTTATCCAGTGTATATACCCATGTCATATGTTTTTGCGTATTAACCCATGTAAAATGACCTATCAGCCCTGTGATTGGTTGTAAGTTTCAATTGTTTCAATTGTGACCTCACGCCTAGGACAAGTACATGACATCACAAACTTACAAACTAGAGTCAAAATGGGGGCTTTTTACATTTCAAGGTTGCATGAAAATTGCTGTTTTACATGTATAAATACCACAAATCTTGATTATGTGATAAAAAGGATCTTACACTCGTTTTCATTTCATATGAAATTTATGAAACTCATGTAAGATCCTATATATATAATAAGACCAAAAAAATGTGTGAGTTTCCAGTTTCCCTACCAACACTAGATTTTGTTGCCTTCCCTAAAGGTTTTATTGAAAATTAGTGATGAGCACTGTTAAAGTCAGAACTCTTGCTCTGTATCAACATAGTAAAAAATACTTTAAAACAAATTGTCTACCTACCAACCCTAAAAAAAAATTCAAGCAGAAACAGGAAATGCACACCTTTTTTTTGGCCTAAAGATAATTGTGACTTTTCCAAGGCATTTGATTGCATCCCTCATTCACTGTTACTGGGGAAGCATATTGGCTGGACGAGTCAGCAGTTGAACTCGTTAATAGTACCCCTCAGTTACAAGCAGGTCAGGCTCTGCCCCATGGTCAGTGACTAGGAGTGGTCCAGGAAGGGGGTCTCCCAGTTGCAAGGTTCTAACAAGACCTCTAATATCTAACATCTTCTTTAATGACTTTTTTACTAGTTTTAAGCAACAGTGTTCAGGCAAACCCAGAGAAATGTTAGGCAATTTTTACATGTAAAGGGAAAAACTCTCAGGAGTGTTTATTTCACTTTATCTATATTTTATTAGCTCACCTGGTCCAAAGGACCAAGGTGAGCTTATGCCATACCGTGACGTCCGTCGTCCATCCGTCCGTCGTCCGTCCGTCAACAATTTCTTTAAACGACTTCTTCTTCTTAACCACTGATTGGAATTTAACTAAATTTGACTGGAAGCATCCCTAGGTGGTGGGGATTCAAAATTGTACAAATGTTGGGGCTGACACCCCAGGGGGCTGAGGGGCAGGGCAAAAAGGGGGCAATTTGGCTAAACTGCTTTAAGCAACTTCTTCTCTGAAACTAAGTGATGGATATCAACCATATTAGATTTGAAGCATCCCTAGGTTGTGGAGATTCAGAATTGTACATATGGTTGGGCTGACCTCCCAGGGGGCTGAGGGGCGGGGCCAAAAAGGGGTATTTGGCTATATTGCTTTAAGCGACTTCTTCTCTGGAACTAAGTGATGGATATCAACCATATTAGATTTGAAGCATCCCTAGGTTGTGGGGATTCAGAATTGTACATATGGTTGGGCTGACCTCCCAGGGGGCTGAGGGGCGGGGCCAAAAAGGGGTATTTGGCTATATTGCTTTAAGCGACTTCTTCTCTGGAACTAAGTGATGGATATCAACCATATTAGACTGGAAGCATCCCTAGGTGTTGGGGATACAAAATTGTACAAATGGTGAGGCTGACCCCCCCAGAGGACTGAGGGGCGGGGCCGAAAAGGGGTAATTTGGCTATATTTCTCCAAACAACTTCTTCTGTAGAACTATGCACTGGATATCGATCATATTTGGTCGGAAGCATTCATAGGAGGCAGGGATTCAAAATTGTACAAATGGTGGGGCTGACCTCCCAGGGGACTTACAGCACCTACCATGGAGTGCTATATCTTTACTTCATACCAATTATTTTAAACATATTCAGGTGAGCGATACAGGCCCTATGGGGCGGTTGTTTCTGTAGGTACACATTGTATGTTTATTTGCATGCCTTGTTTTTGTTTCATTTAAAAATGGTGAGGCTGACCCCCCCAGGGGACTGAGGGGCGGGGCCATATCTTTACTTCATACCAATTATTTTAAACATATTCAGGTGAGCGATACAGGCCCTATGGGCCTCTTGTTTCTGTAGGTACACATTGTATGTTTATTTGCATGCCTTGTTTTTGTTTCATTTAAAAATGGTGAGGCTGACCACCCCAGAGGACTGAGGCGCGGGGCCGAAAAGGGGGAATTTGGCTATATTTCTACAAGCAACTTCTTCTGTAGAACTATGCACTGGATATCGATCATATTTGGTCGGAAGCATTCATAGGAGGCAGGGATTCAAAATTGTACAAATGGTGAGGCTGACCCCCCCAGAGGACTGAGGGGCGGGGCCAAAAAGGGGTAATTTGGCTATATTTCTACAAGCAACTTCTTCTGTAGAACTATGCACTGGATATCGATCATATTTGGTCGGAAGCATTCATAGGAGGCAGGGATTCAAAATTGTACTGGAGTGCTATATCTTTACTTCATACCAATTATTTTAAACATATTCAGGTGAGCGATACAGGCCCTATGGGGCGGTTGTTTCTGTAGGTACACATTGTATGTTTATTTGCATGCCTTGTTTTTGTTTCATTTAAAAATGGTGAGGCTGACCACCCCAGAGGACTGAGGCGCGGGGCCGAAAAGGGGGAATTTGGCTATATTTCTCCAAACAACTTCTTCTGTAGAACTATGGGCGTGATATCAATCATATTTAATCAAAAGCATATATGGGATGCAGGGATCCAAAATTGCACAAATGGTGGGGCTGACCCCCCAGGCTAAGGGGTGGGGCCAAAAAAAGTTTATTGCCTGGAAATGGTTGAGATCCCCACCCCAAAACTATATCTTCATACCAATTATTTTAAACATATTCAGGTGAGCGATACAGGCCCTATGGGCCTCTTGTTTCTGTAGGTACACATTGTATGTTTATTTGCATGCCTTGTTTTTGTTTCATTTAATTTTCATCCCAGAAATAGCACTACTGAGGTGATGTTTGTATGTTTCTGATTTGTAACAGTAAAACATTCTTGTATCATGGACACATGTGACCCATTAGAATAAGTCTCTGACACCTGGTGACAACATTGTTGCCACCAATTATCAGAGAATTATCCTAATGGGTTTAAGATGATAATGAAAATGTATTAATCCTCAGAAGATGAAAACACAAAGACTGGGAGATACAACCCATTCTGAATTCTTGAAATACATATTTTAAAAGAAATAAATGTCTGAACATAATGACATTGTATATCATTATAATTTGGATTGAAAATTATTTCTTTTTTAATTGGAATACAAAGATAAATTTAGGTCGTACATGTATCATCAAATAATCATTATAGTGTTAAAGGCCCTTACCTTATAACACTTCTTGAAAAATAAGAAAAAGAATTTCTATCTCTTTATCCAGTTTACATGTTTTTCTGGATGTAACCCGAAACGGGTATATAATTTGTTTGGCCTAAAGGTTGTAACTGAATGTTTTGATTGTTAGGAGTAACAATGGCTGACGATCCTAAATTACCGAATCATGATGAAATCTTGTCCCTACTGGTGAAGGAAGGAGAAAACGGGGGCGTGCATCTGCCTGAAAGTCAAAATAATCAAAGAAATAAGGAAAAAAGTGAAGAGGCAGCTGGAAACCTTCCACCAACCAAATCACTGGATGCTGAGAAAAGGGACATAACTCCTTCGGCTTCAAAAGGAGAAATGGAAAATGAGAAAGAGGATACTCCATCAGATGAGAAAATGTCCTTTATGGAGAAAATGAAGACGGACGATTCATATAAAGAAAAAGTTTTTTTGAGTCTTAGCATCTGCTGGTCTTTTGTTATATTGGTAAAGTACATTTCTATCATTTTACTAGCATAAGATTCCTTAACTTGGTTATATACATATAGATGTATGTCGTATGGCTGTCATTATAAGAATACTCTTACAGAACTCCTTTTTGCGATCTTTTGGCTTCTCTGAGCTTTCATAACCGTGCTGGGTACTCAAGTCTGTCAGTCAAATAATGATATACTGTTATAAAATGTGTAAGAGATAACACACAATGAAGTATTACTGGTGTTTTAAAATCAATGGTTTTCAGAGCAATTTTAATTTTAACTTGTATTTTTTTTAAATTGAAAATAAGATATGCATAAACATACATGTATTTGAGTAGAACCTTCTTCTTTTCTTGATCATCATCAATAACTTGGAAAGACTTGTGTTCTGGACCTTATTCCTCAAAAAACAAAGAAACAAAACAACAAAAAACAAACCAGTTCTGGTCCTGATTTTCAATTCTTAAGTTCTAGTTTTGATTTCATCTTATATCAATCATTCTTGTTGGCTTACATTTGATTGTGTAGGGGGTCGAATGTGGGTGGAAACCGGAGTACCTGGAGAAAACCAACATGATTGGACAGGTGACCCCATACCTTTCCACGTCTGATTATGGAATCAAACCCCGACCATCTTGATGAAAGGCGAGTGTGCGGTCTACTGCACCAGCCAAGCACCCTCAAGATTTAATAAAGCTCTAATAAATATTTTCGTAGGATATTGTATTTACTATACATGTTCATTTTCTACATCTTGTCAATAACTTTTTTATTCACTTTCTTATATCTTCTGTTACAGGGTTGGCTGGTTGCTCAATTTGGACCGTCCTTTCTTGACCTTAGAATCATCACAAATACAGATCTAAAGAAGGCGTCCAGCTATCTGACCAGTGGCTCTGTGGGGTACCTTGTTGGCTCCCTCATAAGTGGCTTGCTGTTTGACCGCTTCAACAAGGTTCTGCTACTGTTTTTGTACACATTCACTGGCGTGTTTTTCTCGGCTATCCTGCCCTGGTGTTACTTGTATGAGCTGATGATGACGGTACAGTTTTGCCGAGGCTTTTATGGCGGAGGACTTGATACAGGTGAGCTTCGTGTGAAATAATGTATACCAGGATTTCCAACAAATTCTGTGTAGTAAGTTTATGTGGAGGCAAAGTTTCCTGTTTTACAGTAAGGTCACATAAAAGTTGGTTTTGTATGTCTGTTTCTGTTAAACCCAAGTTTTAGCAATATGAATTGGTTCTTGAATCTCATATATATATATATAGTCTTTCATATTGCACAATATTCCCATTGGATTCTGTGATTATTTACTTTTTGGAAAATCCATTTTCCTGGCATCGTTTTCAGTATATAAAAAAAAAGATGAAATTCAGCACAAAGCTTGAGAATTATCTAGGGTTTCTCTTGGTAATATTTATATAATTATCCATTTCATAGAATTCTAACCATGACTGGGAAAACATTGTTTACAGCGAAATTAACATTGTGTCTATGGGAATAACATAATTAATGTATTATATTAAATGCTGGGATAAAAAGTGATATCTCAGCAACTGAGCCTCACATAACAATATCAGCATTATTAGAGGAAAAACTGGATTATCTTATAAAAGGATGTAAAGGTTTATCAAAATAAGATGTCAAAAAAGGTCCAATTTTATTAAAAAAGAAAGTAAATTAACACTTATGACACGCTGCTGTAAGAAAGGAAGCTAGCTTCTTTAAAACCTTGTATTTATCACATGTGTATACCTACATGTTTAATGCTTTTTTGTTGTTGACAAATTTCTGTGAAAAAACTGCTGCATATATATTTATCATAAATAATTCTTGAGCCCCTCACAGCCACCCCTAACCAAAACACAGGTTTCTAGAAGTACAGTGTATTTATTAATTCATTCTCAATTTGTAATTTAATTTTCAGGTGGGAATGCCCTTCTGATTTCAACATGGGGTCAAGATGGCCGCTCCTTTTTACAAGCTCTCCACTTTTCATTTGCGATTGGTGGGATAGTATCACCCTTGGTAACTGCCCCTTTTCTGCTGGAAGAGAGAGACATTAGAACAGACAACTCTAGTCTACGATTAAATGGCACGATATATGACACAGATTTCAATATGTCACAAATCCTTTACAATACCTCTATCAGCTCCTTCACACAACCTGGTATGTCTACAACAACACCTGATCCCGCTTCTGGTTACAAAGCTGAAGACTCTAAATTATATATTGCATTTACCATCTCAGCAGCTATGAATTTGTCAAGTGCAATACCGTTCCTCATCTTATACCTAAGGGCAAGGAGGCGTAAAAGGAAAAACTCCATAAAGAAAGTGGAAGATAGTAAAAGGATAACAAGGGAATTGACGATTGAGTATAAGGTGCTAGTTCTAGTAAGTGTGTGTTTGTTTTTAGGGGTGTACTGCGCTGTGGAGGACACATTTAATGCCTTTCTCACAACCTTCTGTGTCAAGCACATGGGATGGACCAAGGCTCATGGCTCCTACGCTACGTCACTGTATTGGGCAGTGTATGGATTCGGCCGCTTTTCAGGAATTTGGTTAATCAAATGGATAAAACCTGATAAAATGATCTGCGGGTTTACTGTAGCTTTAGGCTGTGTTTTTGGGGGACTTCTTGCTTTCGCACATTACAGGATTGATGGTGGCATCTGGGCAAGTGCGATACTTGCGGGAGCAGCAATGTCGATTATTTTTCCGACAGTCTTTTCTTGGACGGAGGATGAACTCTTGCCAGTTTCGGGGAAAGTGGCATCCCTGTTTTTGATCTCGGCATCAAGTGGGACCATGATAAACCCCATCTTATTAGGATATCTGATGGATACCCTGTCTCCACTTTGGTTTACCTATCTCCTGTTTGGCGAGACGATAGTGTTGATTCTCCTGTTTATCATCCTGTTACTGATAGCAAGAATACTAAAAGCCAAATTTGGTACCAGTTGTACGTTCAAGGATGTAGAGATCGAGTTGAAAAGCGAAGATGATGTCGAGACGGAGAGTCTGGTTGATGCTGTCCAAACAGTATCATTGAATGGAAATAAAGATGTATGATCAGTAAAAAAAATAATTCATATTTATATTAGGTCCTCATTAATCAGTAGCTTTCACAGTCAAGACCACGAACTTGTCCAGAAATTCAATAATCGTTTAGTTGGGTATTCAATTACCACATAGGTATCCCCATGTTACCGGGATTAGTCATACAAGTTAGCCATCAGTGAGAAGGTGAACACTAACTAACATCGAAAAAACAGTAAAAGAACCAAGCTGTCAAGGTTGTTCTTGTACTCGATATTTTAAAGGGGGACAGCAGACAAAGTTGCCATCTCTGCATTGATAGTTAGTGGAACTTGCCTTTACTGTACGTATACCTGGAAATGTTTGCAGCTGTTTAATTTTCGTTTTTTTCACCCTCAGTAACGAAGACAAATTTATCATTACAGCGAACATTAATTAACAACAATATACATGGTAATTAAATGTGAATACAGATTTTACCGCCTAAGGGTGAATGTTTGACCGGGTGGAGACTTCGAATTCCCAGTGTACAGTATGGGTAGGAAGTGCCATACGTTATGTTATCATAAAAACACTTCAACCATACAGCTTTCAGAAATGAGTTCATTGACCAAATTATGTTTCTTTATATTTTATATATACATTGTATGTGTGTTTAATTTTTAGTAGCAATAACTTGTTACGTGTTCTATATTTTGAACGTTGGTGTAAAATATTTGCAATGAAGCTACATACACACACACTTCTATTACTTAGATGTTAAGAATTTAAACTTTATGGGTAAACTGTACATGTCATGCTAATTATGCAGTTCATTAGTGTATGTGTAATGAAATTCAGGTTTTAATAATATTTTGATAAAAAGGAGTTGTATTTGTTGTTGTTTAATTATCAAGTTAACCATATCGACGGTTTCTTTGAATATTTGATTGAGTTGCCGGTTGCTGAAATTCAGTTGGTTTCGCAATCCTATTTTTGTATATGTCTTCTCGGTGTGTGATGCAATAGCCAACGTTAGATCTGTCTCCATTACCTAGAGTCAACCTTACAAAGGTTTCCTATATTGGTGGGCACCAATCAGGACAATGTGTCACCCTTGGTTCTGATGTTTGAAGTGTAAAGAATCCCTACATCTTGCTTTTTGCTCAAATTCCATGACTTCATTGCGTAGAGCATTGTTAACTGGTATTGCATTTAGTCAGAAATATGTCATTGTAAACACATTTTTAGATTTTGCCACATGTAAAAAAATAAAAGTTTTAATATTTGTTACAGTTATAGCTTATACCTTTGATTATCAATTTTCATTTTTAGCACTGTATGAAAAATACTTTTTTATGTTGTATTGTACATTAGTCTACAGTACATTTTGTTCATCTTCTTGTTTTAGTGCTATTGTGCCAAGTTAATAAGAATGCTACAATTTTTGCTTATAAATGAAGTTTGCCAATTACCTTAAAACTTTCACAATTTCTCATACTGTAACCTACAAAATGTACAAAATGTAACAAATTTTTTGTCATGATTTTTTTAAACAAATGCAAAGTTCCTTAATACATGTATAAAACATGGCGTTATCTGATCTTCATACAAACAATATTGTTATTTATCCTTTACATTGTACACAAAAAGTTTGTCAATTCACTTATCAGTTTGCTATTTCAAACAAAATCATGTTCCGCTTAATATCACATTTTCAAATGACAAATTAGAAGTGATAATAAGCGAAATATACTGTATACATATTTTTGATATAAAAACATCTTTTATAGCGACTACAAATATTGTAAAACAAAGAGCAGGCTTGTAAACATCTCATGCATGTCACAATGTTTCCATTTTATATGGTGTTCCACAATAAATTCTCCTGGCATTTCTTTATGTAACATGTCAGGGTGTGTTGATGCTTTGTAAAATATATTTTTCAGGGTTTTATATTACTTGACAAAATGTTGGGCAAAATTCTTAAGATTATACTAGATTTGATTTCAAAATCTAACATGGGACTTGATGATGTTTGTGTATTACCTCTTTATGAAATATGGTTGTGATTAGGTAACCCTAGTTACATATATACCCGTAACATTATACATCATCCTTGATATCCAGGGGTTACGCTCACTTTTGCTCTCTACTCCCCTGGAATCATCCTCGATATCCAGCGGTTACGCTCACTTTTGCTCTCTGCACCCCCGGAATATGTCGTAGCGAAATTGAAGGCTCGGGGTGCGGAACCTAGTTCAATCCTTTGATGTACATCAAAAGAATCTCGCGGTCGCGTAACGGTAAACATTGTCAGGCTTTGAAGTTGGGCGTCTCTCCTTCGTAATCTTCAAAAGACAGGTATCAGCCTAGCGATTGGTCAGTTTTTTTTTTTTTACCCGAGACCAATCAAACAGCTATCTTCGTGCCTTCAATTTTGCCATGACATATTCCAGGGGTGCAGAGAGCGAAATTGAGCGTAACCCCTGGATATCGAGGATGTGGGCTTAACGTCCTCAAAGCTAAGGCCACGACTACTAGCTGGAATATCACTGTATTTAAGGAAAGGACGATTTCAGGAAGTATTCATTGAAATAATTTTGCAAGGACCCGGGCATTAGCTCTTTCTGCATCAAGATAAAGTGAAAAAAGTTCAATGGTTTATTCCCCGTGTTACCATTCATAATACAAACAATATTTGTATATTTTCATTATATATTACATTGGAATAAACGTGAACTAATTCGAGAGAATGATTTTAAGAATAATTCTAGAGTGCATATCTCTTAACTAATTAGTTGTTGTACTGTATGTCTTTTACCTGGAAACTTTCGCGCAGTTAAACATTTACCTTTCACTTGTAAAATCAATTTTTGCCCAGTTTTAAATTCGCCTAACCAAGTGATAACTATGTGTGGTGTTTTGTATAATGGTTTTTGCTGTTTAGATAAATTCACACTCGTTACGGTCGGCGAAGAAGGCGACCGGTAAATTACGAAAATTTCCTGGCATACAGTCGCAACTACTGAAGTCATCCCTTGATTTGATGGAAAGGGAACCGAATGTGTGATGTGCCCAGGCTTGCCATACACTTGTCTATGTATATTTCTGTGTTGAGTCAACTATTTCTTTTAGTAGAGTATTGTTAATTGCAAATTGGCATTTGTTATTTAATGTGTCCACATATGTAGTATGTACGTAGGACAAGTAGGTAAGGATGAGATGACGAGTACGGAGCCTCTGTGTTCAGAGTTTTAATTGCAAGCAAACTCCATTCAGGTTTTCAACATTCATATACATATATTTATTATCATTAACATGTTACAGCGGCTGCTGGCCATGGTTTGAAGAAAAAAATTGTTACGTTACATATGTACCTCTACTTGTACCATGTTTAATGTGACAGTTCTTGTATTTATTTGATGATGACTTGAAACGTTTTTGACCTCAGAATATGCTTTCCATTTTAAATAAACCCAAGTAGAGCCGAGGAAGATGAAAGGGAAATCAATCGTTTTTACTTTTTTGAGTTTTTTTCTTTTCTTTATCATTTCCGGTCACGTGAACCGAAACAGATATAAAGGGGATTGACCAGCACATATTCAGCTGAAAAATAATAGTTTATATCAAATTGATGCGACAGGAAAATCAGCGAACACCGATAGAAAAGTATCCAGGATTATAGTACCGTTGAATTGGAAAGAAACAAATCTACAACAAAAGTGCTATTCGAATAGAAATCGATGAGATGATTTACATGAATACCGTTGAAAGGTATAATAGAGTACTGACGACAAAGTGTTCTGGATGGGAGAGGAAACTCCGGCTAGATGGGTAACATCTTATGCTTAATCAATGACACTCGATCCTGTAAATCTAGGTCAAATATAGAAACAGATGGAGAGATCGATTATATATTGAGGTTAAATATAAACAGCGTGCAACAACATTTTGACCAAAAAGGGGTAGTGTAGTATTTCAACAATGGTTCGTCTTCACACGGATTTTTACACTCAACCATACACAATTCAAGTTTCGTTCCTTTAGTTCTGAACCATCTGTGTTCAGTCATAGCGACGATGTTTTCTGTTGACAAAGACAGCAGGTGAACTACATTAATTCACGCGTAAAACTTTTATTTCTATACAATAATGTGCATGCATTTTACTTGGTTGAGTGAGAGGCGGTTATTGTAATATATAAATGAATGTTTGATAAAGATATGGGAAAATATATTTATCAATTAATAGAATTACCAGGTTAATATTTTTTATACAAGAATGACTACATATATTGTGTTTGAAATGTTCAAGTCAAGGATACTCTTACAAATGTAGTTCTGTGATCGCTCCTGAAATAACACGTGGCCATTAACACCAACATTACGACAGTCCCATCGAATGCAATGTTACGTTTTAAGACTTTGTGGAAACTATGGAAATCATTAGGCGTCCACTTTGTTCGAACTGGGAGAGGATTAGGTTAACATTGTTCCTGGTGACCTTACGAAACAAGCTTGGGGACTTCTTCAACTAACTGATGATGTTACACAAATTCGACTCTTTTATGACTGTTCATATGGATAATCTCTTGGCTATCCGTACGAACCCCAGTTACTCTACATGTATGATAGTTTCAAGTTGTGTTCAAGATAACTCCACGGCACACAATACGACACAACTCTCCATGGCAAACGATACGACGGACAAGGAAGAACATACTGAATAGATTCATCTTCGGAGTTTGTTAAATCTGTCGGGGCTCCTCAAAAAAACGGTAGCTTGGAATCCAAAACGAATGTTAAACTCGCCCAAACCAACGTCTCTAAAGCTGTCCTGTTAAGATTGAGGGGTCCGGTATATGACGCAAAATCTGAATTGTTTAACAACAGCTCCGACAGAAAATATACGTGCTTAATGTAAGTGCAGACATTATCTAGGATAAATTTAGATGTCTTGTACCTAAGTTAGACACTCATCGGGACAGCATCGTCTCCAAAACGCCTGCCGCGTTTAGCACTGTGTATGGCGTGGAGGATATTGTCCAACACGCCTGCCGCGTTTAGCACTGTGTATGGCGTGGAGGATATTGTCAAATGTTGGTGGTAATTTAATTATTACTTTGTCATAACTGCGTATATCTAAATAATGTGAAATTGGATACTTTCGTGGAATCCACATTTCGTGGTTTAAAAAAACCTAATTTCGTGGGTTGATGAGCTGTAGGACTACTTGTATCAGAGGAAGCTTGCAGTACCGGTATACCTTCATGTCATACCGTTTATTATTTCGTGGACAGAAATGAAGAGTTCCATGGAATAAACGACATTTTAAAACAAAAACCTACCGGCAATTAGTTATTTTACATTAGCTCTTTCTTATTGTCAGAAAGTAATGGTCCTTAATTTCTACAGTCTTTATTTCAATTAGACAATTATGTATAATTACCTTTAAATAAAATTTCATTCGGGCTTGTTTTGTTCTTTTACAAATACAGGAATACATTTGTTATCACTGATTTCATTATAGGGCGTCCAATCATACGAACTAATACGTTATAACGAAGCAAAGTAAAGACACTTATTTTTAATCATAACAATTGTGGTCACGTACGAAATATTATTTCTAACATATAACCTATGTAAATATACTAGCTACTCATTCATACTCATGAGACTATTTGCGCCATAGTGTTTATAAACAGTTACATCGATAATGATGAAATTCATGACAAGTTAATGTACAATGAAGCACCTGTTTCTCGGGAACGCCTGTTCCTCTGGTTCTGAGAATTCGAGTAGATGTGCGATCTGACAAGCCAAAAATGATGTAAAAGTCTAGACAATTTATTTAATTATATGTAAACAACGTATGAGAACAAAGTACAAACAGTCACAACTCACGCGTAATGCAAAATGTACCCCTAGATATACCTACATAATCATAACCCTCGTCCAACCCACACTATAAACACCAGAAACCTATATGTCAAAACCCATATCCTGACTTCAGGATGAGAACACGAAGGGGGCTCAACGGTAAACAGAGAGCGTTCAGATAGGAACATTGTACTATACGTGACCCAATAAGAATATGTTTCAGAACCAATTCGCGTTGTATTAATGGTCAATGAATTAACAACCAGACTGAGACCAAACATTCCTATTAGCAGGTGATAATTTAGGAAGGGAAATGGACAATTGTACAAGATACTTTGATAAATAAGTGGACTAAAAAAGCTTCTAGAAGTGAACTTCAAAATGTAAACACATGAACATTGGAAATCCGTCGAAAAAAGGACAAAAAGCACACTCTTTCAACAACCTATGTATACTATTGTATTTCATGGAGAATTCCCCATATACTTTCGACTACTTGATTTGTCATTGTTCATCAAGTTTGCAGTACACTTAAACCAAATTGTTTTTCAATACATGTATATTAAAATACGATAATTTAGAAAGATTACTTGTAAATATTAATGAAAACGTCGTCAAACCTTTCTCGTACACACGCTGTCTCGTATTCGTAACATTAGATAATTATATAAACCATGTCTTATTTAACGATACATACTCTTTTCTTTCTACATTCAGATGTTTCTTGTACAAATAATTGTTGCGTTTTGCTTTTCCCATATCACGAATAACTCTGTCATTACAATTTCATTAACATTAGATAATCCTATAGAAATTCTAACGAAAACAATAATAAATAAAATATGAAATACGCATAATGCCAGTTCGGGATTACAAACGCAATGTTAAACAATATTAGCAATTTGAAACGACGATGGACTTAGTATGGATCCCTTGCGTACACGATATGTTTAATGATTTCGGTAAACTGCCTGCAACGGCCTCATGTTGTGATCAGTTAACCAGGAATGGTGTACAGCATGGCAGCTTAGGGGATTACATTTATTTAACATCAGTTAATATATGAGTTTATGTAATATACATAAAATACACTCTAAAGTATATAAAAATGCATTGTTAATTACTTTATCCAAGAAATTAAATATTTTTATGAAACAACACCTTGATGTGGTAATGACACAATTTAGAATTTTAGAAAAACTGTAACGTATATGCCTTTTTAGTAGTATTGACATTAAAGGTAATAGAGAAATAGGTTTACATCAATAATTCACGAGTTCCGAATAGTAATATAACTGTTTCCGTTTACTGAATGATTAGCCTGTCCTGAGATTCATGACTGAATTGTCTATTTTTAAAAGTCTCGCACCATCAAACCAAAAGCCATCTTTAGCGACAGTGTCTGGATTATTTCAAATAAATATACATTAAGCTGTATGGCCATTCTGCTCAGGTAGACTGTCCGTACTTGACCACATGTGTATCTTATTGTCGTTGTGTCCTCTGTCTATGATTGTCGTGTCCAGCCGACCATCGTACATCCCAAACATGCCACCTGCATTTGATATAAATAATGATATTACATTAAACATGTCAGTCATATAAATATTCCTCGTTGATATAAGTCGTGTCATTGCAATAAACAGGTATTAGGCATATTAGTGTACCCAACTGCTAACAAATGAGTCGTTTCATTAAACATATTAGCCGTATTATCATATTTCATTACATCAAAACAAATGTGTTAATTAGCTTTATGGCTCTCCACCCATAACAAGAATAACTCAAACAAGAAATGTGAGTGAAATGGCCATTAGTTATAATTCCTTTTAGCGTATTTTCGAAATACACGTAGTATGCAAAAGAAAGCAATATAAAGACACTTCCATTTGCGCAATCATAAATTGGCTCATGTTTAAGGCCCGAAAAACGCTAAAATCGGAATACCACGACGAACGTTGACAGTATGTACTGTTACCACGATATGTTTTACTGACCTGTGTGTAAAAACAGGATCCTGTTGCCCTTGAATCTGCCGGGGTTATTGTTGAGTTCCCAGAGCATTCCTAACGTCGCCTTCCCAGTGTATATCAGATCTAACATTATCCCAGTAGACTCGGCCACGGACGCCACAAAATCTACCACCAACACCCAAATTATATATATAACCCATCTGTTAGTTAAATCAGTTCATCTCTTAAAGGAAACATGTACCACTATTACAAAAAATTACACATGAAACAAATAATACTTTCGTTATTCTTTTTTTTTCTTTTTTCATTGTTTTTTTTTCATAGACAAAAAAAACATATTGTCGTAATACATAGTATTACAGTTACATGTGTACATAAACATGCATGCACTCATACTTATCATACATATATAACATACATACATACATACATACATACATACATACATACATACATACATACATAACATACAAACATAACATACATGAATACATACATACATACATACATACATACATACATACATACATACATACATACATACATACATACATACATACATACATACATACATACATACATACATACATACATACATACATACATACATACATGCATACAGGCATGCATGCATGTATACCTTCGCACATACGCATGTATGCCCACACGCAGTCACACATACATACATACATACATACATACATATGCACGCACGCACATATATATGCACCCACACTTTCGTTATTCTTAACATAAAACTATATTCAAACATTGTAATGAATGGGAAAAGTGTTATACTTACCTTTTTTCATTTGACATTAAATCTCTTAGAAGTACTAAAACCATGATAGTAGGTGATTTATAATACCCAACCTTTGGTAGGTTAAAGAGTATAATGCTTTTCTAAATGAACCAAACTTATGTGCGTTAATAGAATCTACGACATGGCGGTCAATAGGTTTGCACACTTCCAACTGACAGTTGGCTCGTAACATACCTACTAACCACATACAATAACTGCATATCCTAATGATTAATATACTTGTAATGTATTTGATACAAGTCGTTTTATACATAAGCATATGCATTATCAGATAGGTATTTTTGTCTTTATCGATTTGAGTTTGTGCGTGTATATTGTCATGATTGTCAGTGATATTTTAAGGGTTATTCACCGTGTTCCTCCTGTGTTGACTCGCTGTACCCTTTGCCTTGGTGACCCTCTATTATGTCTACAATGTTGACGGCCTTGACATTGTCAGACAGACCTATGTCGTACAGGGTTTGGTCAACTTGGTCCAGGAAATGGGTTTTTGTGTAGTTACAAACGATGACAGCATGGCACCTGTCGAAAAATAGTTCTACTTAGTTTTGATGGACAGAAAACAGACAATGACATGTTTTCTACTGCCAGTATATGTACGTTTCAATTAGCGAGAACTCATTCAGGGACAATGAGTGCATGTACCAACCCAGTGAGAGCACTGATAATATAGATAAAGATAACAAGTGTACGTACAAATAGTATAAAGAGTTGATACCGGCACAGAGTATTTTTTAAACCTGAAGTGAGACCCGGTGAGATAGTTGATACATAAACAGTCTGTATATATATACAAACTTGATGTGAGACCCTGTGAGATATTTGATACATATTCAGACTGTATATATATACAAACTTGATGTGAGATCCGGTGAGATATTTGATACATATACAGAATGTATATATATACAAACTTGATGTGAAAATCGGCGAGATATAAGATACATATACAATCTGTATATATATACAAACTTGATGTGAGAACCGGTGAGATATTTGATACATATACAGTCTGTATATATATACAAACTTGATGTGAGACCCGGTGAGATATTTGATACATATACAGTCTGTATAAATATATACAAACTTGATCTGAGACCCGGTGAGATATTTGATACATATACAGTATGTATATATATACAAACTTGATGTGAAAATCGGCGAGATATTCGATACATATACAATCTGTATATATATACAAACTTGATGTGAGACCCGGTGA